ATCTGGACTAGACACAATGGACATCTAGGAGTTAGGAGACCTGGTTTTGAGGTTCATCTCCATTATTTCCTGTTGGAGTGTCCTTGGCAGAAATAAAAAACCTCTCCAATTTCACCTTTCTCACCTGTGGGAAGGATTATTTGATGTCGAGGACCCTTCCCTCTCTAATATTCCTGAATCCTAAAATATAGGTGATGAAGAGAATTCTCTGAGCCTCTGGTTATATGGTTCAGCTTGCCAGAGCATTGGTCTAGAAATCAGGTGGTTTTGGTTTAAGAAAAGTAATAACAATAGGGATACTGATATGGAAAAATTATTTTCTTAGCAGCTGACTTGCCATAAGGCAAAACTAACTTTGTCAAGAAAAGAGTTTGTTGAAATCACTATGGGATAGAGCAGGGACGTTGGCAAAATATAGCTTGTAGGCAAAATCCGGCCGTTCTCCTGCTTTTGTAAATAAAGTTTTATTGAAACAACAGCCATACCTATTCATGTACAATTGTTGTTGGCTGCTTTCTCACTATAGAGACAGAGTTGAGTAGTCGTCACAAAGGTAGTATGACCTAAAATATTTAATCTTTGTAGATTAAGAATAGATAGAGAGTAGAAGGAAACTACAGAGGAGATTCAGTTTAATGCGAAGAAAGTAACTGCATATCATGAAGAAGGGAGCAGAAATACAAGGTCCCTGGGAGGAAAGAGGGATGGGAAGAACCTGTTGCCCAGGACATTCTAGAGGGGAGACTTGTAATAAGAATAATACATCTATCGATGATTTATTGACTAATAATACACTGTTATACTGTGTGATAGGGACTCTCCACCGGATCCTCAGGAATATTCAGTTATAATTCAAAATTCATAATATGTTTTATTGCACTATGCAGTAGGCACAGCACGCACCACCGGGGGAGCGCAGCAGAGAGCTCAGCACTCCCTGAACCTGAGGGAAACCGGCTGGGGCCAGCTGAGGTGGGAGCCGGGCTCTGAATCCCGCAGAGCCCATCCCGGGGTTGTCACGGATGAGGGGGATAAACACAAATTGTCGCAAACATCTCTCTGTTTGCCGGGAGAGCAGAAGGGGAAACTTCTGTCTTACTGGAGAAGGCCATGGCACCCCTCTCTAGTGAAGAAGGCTCTGTTATCCTTTGTTCCAAGGCTTTATTGAAAATCTTATCAGTGGGGCTAGGTAACAGGAATGCATACGTTTCTCATTACATCAGCATAAGTTTCACAGAGAATAGATGATGCTTTTAAGAAGACAAATGACAGGAGTACACTGATTTACATGGGTCCAAGAAGAGACTAGAATCAACGATACAGACTACAGATAAGGGGAAAGTAGACACAAAGGCACCTTAAAGATATAGGGTAAGGGGTGTAAATAATGTAAATGTCCTTTGCAGCATGAGCTGGCCAGAAATTTGAGGGATGAACAAAACACACTCTAAAGAATTTACTTTTAGGCCTGATTTCCCCAGGACCTGCCAGATCTGATTTAGGGCTGTTTTTCCTGCACTGTTTCAAGCCTGAGCCAGGCAGTGGGAGGGAACCACCAAGGGATAAGGAGACTGCTTCTCGGCTATAATGAGGACTCCGGCCACATCCAAGCCAAGCTGAGAGGTGCGAGGGCCTCTTTGCCTCTTCTCTGTGTCCCCCAATTTCTTGTCTGCTGCCAATACCAACTGGGATCTGTCTTAGGTTGTTTACCTCAGCTTGGGGTAAATTACCCGTCGTTGATGACCAGTCCTCCATGGCAAAGCAGAGAGGCAGGGGCTACGCCCCTGCTGGGAGAGACAGGCCAAGCCTTCTCAGGAGCCTGATTTCTCCAAGGCCTCCTGATTATTTCCAGCTTTGGGGCCCTCCAGCCTGTCGGCAGGGTTACAGCTCCTGAAACCAGGCAGGGCGTTTCCCAACAATGTTTGGGGTAATTGGATTTGTAGTCTCTTTAAAATACTTTTTAAATTCTTATTAAGGTACCCCATGCCTTACAAGTGTTAACTGTTTTTTTAAACAACCTGTGAAGGGGTAACACCATAATCTCCATTTTACAGATAAGAAAACTGAGGCCCAGAGTGATTGCTAAGTGATGAAGGGGGGTGCAACCGTCTGTTTCAAGAGACTGCTAGACTGCCTCACTCTCAGTTTGAGGCTAAGAGTCTGTGTGGTAGACTCTTTGAGGTGCTGCCCAGATCCCCTCGTGGGAATGAAAGACTCACTCTCCCAATGCCAGACCCCTTTGGGGGGTGCAGCAGCCATGGAGAGCTGTCTCTCCCAGGTCCACATCCCATCCCAGGGCAACCTGACTTACATAGGCTGTAAAGGCCCTCCCCTTTGCTGCTGCTCAGGAAAGGTTGTTCTAGCTCCAAAATTCATCATTGGTTTGGCTGAGTCCCCCACTGAACTACATCACAGTAAAACTTTACCTTCTGACCAGTGTTGCTTGCTTTCTTTTCCTTTCTCTCCCCTTCCCTCTCCCCTTCCTTTTCCCTCCTATCCCAAAGAACTCCCTAATAAACTTATTGAATGTTAATCTCCTTCCCAGAGCCTGCTCCTCAGAAAGCCCAAAAGTGACAATTAGCCTGTGCTGACAAATTGTCAGTGAGAATCTGGGTAAACTAAGAATATGAGGAGTTTTGGCTTAATGTGATCATTCTCATCTTCTACAGAGGGTCCCATGCTGGTGTCATGCTGTTTCAAGAGGAACCCAATGAGGCCCATTCCAAGATACATCATAATTAAAACGGCAAATATCAAAGACAAACAGAGAATCCTAAAGGCAGCAAGGGAGAATGAGGTAGTAACATATAAGGGAGCTCTGGTACGGCTAGCAGCTGACTTCTCAACAGAAACACTACAAGCCAGAAGGGAATGGCAAGAAATATTCCAAGTCATGATAAGAAAAGGCCCGCAACCAAGACTGTCCTACCTAGCAAGGCTCTCGATTAAAATGGAAGGCAAAAAAAGAAGTTCCCAGACAAAAGAAGGCTAAGAGAATACATGTCCACCAAGTCGGCATTGCAAAATATACTAAGGGACTGCTTTAAGAAGATGAAGAAAAAGAGTCTATGAATACCCAGTTCTTTTCACAGTCACCAATACTTGATATTACCAATATTTTTAATATTTATTCATCTGATTGTGACAATGATGTGATATTTTAATTGTTCCTTTATTATTAGTTGAAACTAAACCTGTTTTTGTATGTTTCTTGCCTATTTCTATTATTTTTAAAAAGCTTTAAATAACTTTTTGGTATTCTTTATCCATTTTTTGATTAAAGGTTTGTAGAATTTTTTCCCTAAAAAACAAACTATTAACCGTTTTTTAGATGGGTTGCAAATACCTTCTTATTCTATTACTTGTCCTTTAACAATTTTTATATGTATATTACTATATAGCCTTAAATGTTTAATATAGTCATATTGTCAATATTTTACTTTATAGCTTCTGGGTTTGAATATTTTGCTTCAGGGTAAGAAAAATATTATTTTGTATTTTCTCCTAAAACTCCTTAGATTTTACATATTGATTTTAAACTCACCTCAATATTTCTTGTATAATGAGTGAAATAGGGCTCTATATTTGTTTTATGTCAAGTAATAGTGATCCACGCACCTTATTTGTTGAATAAATCTTACTTTCCCCATTGATTTGAAATATCAATTGAATCATATGTTACATTGTTAGACAGATAGATCCATTTGTTTCTAGAATGCTCATTTTCTTTCATTGATCTACTTGATTATTTCTGTGGTGGTGTCATGTTTTAATTGCTGAGACTTTATAATGGATTTAAATGTTTTAATATTTTATAATGGATTTTGACATTTAAAAAATAAATAAAATCAATATGCATAAAAAGAAGAAACAAAGAAGGAAGGAACTCCTCCCTTTTGTGACAACATGGATGGAACTGGAGAATATTATGTTAAGTGAAATAAGGCAGTCAGTGAAAGACAAGTACCATATGCTCTCACCTATAAGTGGAGTCTATTCAACAGAATAAACTAACGAACAAAATAAACCACATGCAAGGAAACATGGAGCAGACTGAAAGTGACCAGAGGGGATGGAGAAGGAGGACAATGGTGGAAAGCAGAGAAGGAACTCAACAAAAAACATGTATGAATGACCCATGGAGATGGACAACGGAGTGGGAATTAACAGTGGAAGATGGGGGTGAGGTGGGATGGGTGGGGGAAGGAGGAGGGCAAAAGGGGAATAATTGAGACAACTGGAATAAAATAAACATGATTTAAAAATAAAAATTAAAAAACAAAAAAAAATAAAATGATATGTGAAGTTTTGGGCCGAAACAATTAGTGTTGAAGTCTGAGAGTCTTCTAATACATACAAAAATATTGCGGGGCTATTATGTGCCGGACACTACACTATGCACTAGGAATACATAAATGAACAAAACAGATGCTCCTACCTCACTGAGCTGGGTAGTATTTCAAATAATCAAACTGATAAATATATAACCATAAACTTTGGTAGGAGTTATGTAAGAAATTATAAGATACTATCATGTAAACCATTATGGTTAAATGTTTGCTCATATCCTTAATATGTTCCTGCAGAGGTTCCCTAAAAGCGTGATTTCTGAGTCTACAGATTTGCTTGTTTTTTAGATTATTTCAAAAAAAATTTTAATGGACTTTTCTTTAGAGTAGTTTTAGGTTCGCAGCAAAATTGAGGTAGAAAACAGTTCTCATACACCTATTGTTCCCCTTCAATCAATAATCTTTTGTTTTTTAATTTAAAAAAATTATTTTTTTAACCAGTGTCACCCCCAATAAATTCAATAACATAGAAAAGTTATTCTTTTATAGAGCCTTTGGGGAATAGGAAAGGATAATGAAAAATTCACAAGGACCCTGGTTTGTTAAAATAAGATTCCGCTTTGAGTTTGAAAGTGTGTAAAGCAAAAACTGCATTTCCCAAAGGGCAGCGCGGCACGTCACGAAGGATAACGACGCACGCGCAGAGGGATCCACCGCGCTGCGACTCAGCTCGTAAAAAGGGAAAAAGCGCGGTTCTCGAGATACCGCGAATCTTCGAAAGCAAACGTGTTATTATCCACAGACTTTGAAAAGCATTTGGGGGGGCGGCGGGGGCGCACATACGCCCGCCCTCGCAATTTCCAGCGCGACGTGCTTGTTCAGCCGGTGGATCGGTAGGTGGGGATGGGTCGCTATGTGAGACCCTGGGAGAATGGCGGGAGCGGAGGGCTGGGGTCCTCCCACTGCGTCCCCGTTCCTCCATTCCCCGAAAGGCGGTGCGCGCGTCTGTCTCCCTGAGGAGAGGCGGAGCTCGGGGAGGGAGGGCCTGCGCGGGCCTTTTGGGTCTGCGCGTGTGCCGGCCGCTTTCTCTAGGATGGGAAGCAGTGACCCACGGAGATTGGTGCTGAGGCCGACGAAGGTGGGGTACTTAGTCCAGGTGCTGGAAGACGAGGGCTGAGGATAGGCTGCGAACTCTGGCAGTTTTTATGTTCTCAGGATGTGCCCCTCTTAACAAAACCTCATTTTCCCTCAGTATACCTCCAGTTGCCTTTTCTCAACTCTGTCCTCGTTTCCAGCCACAGCTTAAGTCTTTACTCACTAGTACCTTTTCTCCTCCGAGTCTCTTTCTGGCCCAGTCCAGTCAGGCCGAGGCCCACACCACTCCACTGAAATAGCTCTTTGTCAAAGCAGCCAATGAACTCCAGGTCGTCAAATTCAGTTTGTTGTAGCTAATCACTGCCCCTTCTTGAAACACGCTGTTCATTTGCTTTGGAGAACGTTCTGTCCTTAGCCTCAGGTCTCTGGCCTCTCCTCTGCTGATTCTTGCCCCTCTTCTTTACTGGTTGTACTGCCTCAAGGTCTCATTCTAATCTCTTTTCTGCTTTCACTTTCCAGGAGTTCTACATTTCAGGGTTTTAAATATAAATACCATCTGTTGTGACAACTCTGAAATTCCCATCTTCAAACCCACTGCTCTTCCTTGAACTCCGCGTTTTTATTATTGTATATCCAACTCTCACAGGGTACCTCTTAAATGACTGACATTTTGAGTTTTACCCTTCACCTTCCCCAGCCTTCTCTTTCTTCCTGTTTCTCAGGCTAAAGACCCTGAGTTATCCGTGATGTCTTTTGCTTCTCTCATCTCATTCTCCATTAATCTGTTAGCACATACTTATCCCTGAAGCTTTGACGTTTCACTACTGAGTGTTTAATTGTAGATACTCTCTTTGGCACGTGGTTGGTCTTTTTCTGCCCCAGAGTTTGTGTTTTCAGTACTTTGGCACTGGTCAGTTCAGAGTCATTGAGATTTATCTATTTATCAGTATTCTGTCCTGTATATCCCGTTTAGAGTGTTTATTTTACCTACAGATAAGTGGTGTGGGATCCCTGTTGGGTGCCAGACAAGGGGGGTAACACATCCCGCAGTCCAGCCCCGCCCCTGGCCCCACGGAGGAGGAAATAAGTCGTTCCAGACACTCTGCGTCTGGCAGGAAAAGGGGATGGCAATTCCCCCTAGTGGAGAATGCCCTAAGCCCTTCTCTTGAAGTGGCTTTTATTGAGAATATGTACAGGGATATATAACATGCATGCAAAGCTTATCAATCAATGCCTAAAGGCTGTGTTTACACAAAACAGAGATCATAGCTAACAACTGAAGGAACACAGAGATTTGCCTCTGGTCAGGGTCTGGTAGACAGGGTGGTGCCCATTTGGCCCTGAAACCTGGGAAACTGATCTCATTCTCATCTGGGACCCCCAAACATCAGTACTCATTAACTCGAGGGCATTCTTAGCAATGTAAGTTTCATAAGGTTTAATGCATTCCTTTTCCAGGCCTAATTGCCGTGGGGAACCACCTAATCCAGTTTAAGGCTGTACCTGCCTTTAGTATTGTTTCACTGACTGGGTCAGGTGAGTAGAGCAGGCAAGGGAGAAGGCTTCTTTCAGATAGAATGAGGACTCTAGCCATGACAAAGCTGAGGAGTGAGGGTCTTTTGCCCCTTCTCCGTGTCCCCGAAGTCCTTCCCTGATGGCCCCTATGCGATTGTGCCTGTCTTAGGCTGCCCCTGCCATCGAGGGGTCTTACCTGTCATTGACTAACCAGCCATCCTCCAGCTCCAAGCAGGGTGATGAGAGGGAGGCAGGGGCTGTGCCCCTACCAGGGGGTAGGTTTGTCTCCTCAGTGGCCTATTTGCCCAAGGCCTCCTTGCTCAGCTCCAGCCTTGGGGACCTCTCACCTGTCAGCAAGGCTGCAGTCCCTGAAACCCGGCACAACGGTTCCCAACAGTGTGGAACTCTTTAATGTCTATGTATCTTTCTAGTTTCCTAAAAGCAAGGCAGAGACTGTCTCTCTCACTGATAGCCCGCATGCCTGGCACAGAATAGGTGCTTGATAAATACTGTTAAATCAGTGAATTTATAAAGGGGAAGTACCTCTTCTCCAGAGGTGAGAAGTAGACATTACTCTTAGAATATATTGGTAACAACTAATTTTCTTCTGGATTCAGGGAGAAGATACTGAATAGCCCAGCTTCAGAATTGTTGCTCTGTTTACAATTTGAAAGGCAGTTTTAAGAGGTTTGCAGGATTCAGTTCAGCATTCTGTTTTGAGGACTTAGTAGGTGCCAGGTCCTGTGCTAGTTACTGGGAATAGAAAATAAATAAAACTGTATCCCACTCTGCTGAGAGCTCGCAGCTTGGCAAGAGAGACAAGTAAGTGAAATAGTCTTTCAGTACATATGTGATAAGTGCAAGAATGAAAATTTTGTATGGTGCTCTGGAAGTTTTTGTTTTCTTTTACAATTTTATTTATTTATTTTTAGAAAGAGGGGAAGGGAGGGAGAAAGAGGGAGAGAAATATCAGATGTGTAGGAGATACATCAGTTGCCTCTTGCACACCCCCAGTTGGGGACCTGGTCTGCAGCCCAGACATGTGCCCTGAATGGGAATCGAACTGGCGACCTTTGGTTCACAGGCCACCATTCAGTCTGCTGAGCCACATCAGCCAGGGCTGCTTTGGAAGTTTTGATTGCTCTTGGCATTGGGGCAGATAAGAGGGATCTGGGTGGCTGTAAGCAGCTTTGTTCTGTACCCCAGTATGCCGTACAAATATTATCATGTTCTCTGTGTGCCATAAGTAAAAATTGGCAAGTACTGCTGTAAAAGCGTTAATTTGCTGCCATTTGATTTGGATGCTGAAAGATGAGTAAATTTGCAAAATCCGGAGGAGAAGAAGAGAAAGGATTAAAGGGCATTTCAGGCATTAACAGTTTGGGTAGGCATAACAGAAGCATGGAAGTCTGCGCTTGTTTGGGATTGGGGCACTGGAATTGTTCAATATGGGCATTATGTGGTGGGATCAGTAGAGAGGGTTGTTAGAGAAATGCTGTCCAGGATCTGGAGCAATGCTTTGGAAGTGTTTTATCAACCAAAGTGTCTCTTTTATAAATACCTGGCCCAACCACAAAGCACACAATTCTCAGTGAGTAGGTCCATTATAGTCCATAGTTTTTTAAGTGACCAACTTTCTGGAGCTGACAACTGAGACGTGGTAACTTACAGGCCATTTTTTTTTTTCCTGATTTCCAAATTTTTATACAAAGATTCTTACAAAGGTTTAAAAAGGGAATCTTGTTTAGATTTTTTGATGAATCATCTGCATTGGAAAAAAATATTTTATGTCAGGATTTGTGTTCACGGTATCCATGGAGTAGAAGGTAGTTTGGTGAACATGAATGAGGACAGTTAGGTGTTGATGATAAGAGCAGTTTGAGTCCTCGGGGCTTAGGTTGTAGAGTCAGACAAATCCGGATTTGAATCCCACTTCTGCCACTTTTTACTTGCACGACCTTGGTAGTCATTTATTTCTCTAAGATGCAAGCTTCCATAGTACTAAATGAATAGTACTTTGCAGGATTGTTAGGAGGGTTACATAGGATAATCTACATAAAAGTGCTTAGCATATAGTAGGTATTTAATAAGCAATAGTTGCCATTATTATCTTTATTTTTCTACCTCTGTTTTTCAGATGCCACAATAAATCACCATCGGTGTAATCTAATAACCTAACGGATGATTGGCAGTTTACTGTAGACAAAAGCTTCTGTTCTCATGATCTCATTTGCTATTGAATATGTGAAGTTGTGGCAAAACTTGAAATTGAAAGGAGTGTAGATTTTAGAATTTTCAGTCTTGGAATCCCAGCTCAAGTACCAGCATTTTCTGAGATACCTAGTATAACTTCACCTATCTGAACTTCAGTCTTCCCAGATACAAAGAGGGTGTGCATATGGAATTGCTATAAGCTTTAAAAAATTTTTTTATTGATTGATTTGAAAGAGAGAGGGGCACTGATTTGTTGTGCCACCCTTTTATGCATTCATTGGTTGATTCTTGTGTGTGCCCTGACTGGGGTATCAAACCTGCAACCTTAGCTTATTGGGATAATACTCTGAGCTACACAGCCAGGGCAGCATTGCTATAAGGTTTAAATGGGAATCACTTGTGTAAGCTCCAGTAGGAAGTGTGGTAGGTACCAGGGGAAACAAATGTCATTTTCTCCTTTACGTTTTAAAAAAAACAATTGATGAATGTAGATTCTTACGGATGGTGGCTGGATTGAGGGTATAGGATTTGAGTATAGGGTTTAGATGCCTTGCCTCCCTTTGATTCAGAACAAAGCTTGTGTTGTCTTAAGCCCTATGGAATTAATTTTAGAGTGTTAAATATAGGATGTTTGGACTTGTTTGAGACCTAGGCTGCTGGTAGAGAGGCCAGAGTGCTCTTTTAGGCGGGGTGTTTAGCAATTAATATACGCTTTCATTCTGCAACCTTTGTCCCTAAGTATTACCTCTTAGTAGTTAAACTCCCCGTTGCACGTAAGAAAAAGCTAACCCAAAGACCAGCCTAGGCAGAAAGGAAGTATGTATTGACTCTAACTGAAGAGCCCTGGGTATACCAGCTTTGGGCGTGGCTATATCCAGAAGACTAAACTAGGTCACCAGTATTTTCTTTCAACTCTGTTTTCCTCCATGTTGGTTTCTCTCTCAGTCAGAAGCCTCAGTCAGTTCCACGCTTTCATGCTACTCTTAACCAAAAACTGAAAGAGGGTATCTCTTTGCAGATAGCTCCAGCAAAAGATCTGAAATGGATTTTGGCCAGACTTGGGTCACAT